CATACGAGTATTACTCGCTTCTCTATCATCCTCATTTATATTCTTCTGTCTACTCTTCCCCTTTTTACACAAGCTTTCTTCATTTTTTTTTCTTAATCCTCATCCCGTAAGTTATACTCAATCTCATCCCATCCTCAATGAATAAAAATTCAGCTCTTCTCCTGGTCGCCTCCTCCCCTTCATTATCCTCGAATGGGGAAAACTTCAGTTCTCCCCTGTGTCCTCCTTTTCTTTTTCCCCGTATGGTACACTTTAGTTTTCCTCCCCCTGCACTCCCCCTCCTCCCCCATATTTTAGTGAAAGACACTCGTTTTCCTCCTCCTTGCTGACCTCCTCCTCCGCTGCGCCCTTCCTCCTCCTGCGCGCCTCCCCTGTGATGCGTTCCCCCCTCGTGCCCGCGGTCCCCCCTCCTCTCCTCCTCTGCTGATGTTGGGTGCTGCTGATGGTTTCCTCCTCCTCTTCCTGTTCCTCTAGTAACCACCTGCTGTGGTCTTTCAGATGTACATCGTGTCTCAATATCATTCTTGCTTCCTGGAGCTGGTACCAGGAAACCGGGTTCATGTTGGACCTGCCTCATAAATCCATCTCTTCCTACCTTCACCAGTGTACCTTTTAGGAAAACTTTACGCCGGAAAAAAAAGCGGTGAACTGAGCACCGATGCGCCGTGGGGGAAAACAAACATCTGTTATACACAGCAAATTGTTATTTTGAAGGAAAAGTTTTTAAGTCCGGGGTTTAGCTATCAAAAAAATGTTTAAGAACTGTAAAGTATTTATCCCATGGTATATTAAAACCTTTTAGGAAAAAAATCCCGACCTTGCCAGGGAAAGCATTACCCCTTGTTTTTGAAGTGTGGACTTTAAGGGGGGTACGACCTTAAAAAACTCCCGGATGGCGGGGGTTGCCCCCCAAGGTGCCAGACTTTTAAGCCCCCGGGGGTTTTCACAGCGGCGTCTTCACGTTGTTGGGGATCCACTCCACGAAGTTCGAGGCCTTTTGTTTCGCTTTCACAACTGTTCATTATTTTTCCTCATGGAATCGGGCCCCGGAACATTGCAGCTACAGTGAGGTGCGACCATTGCTTGGGGTTCATGCCCCCATCAATTTTTTGGGTCAAAACATCGCGTTGCCAAATCGGTACTGACAGTGCCTGGAATTTTTATTACTGAAATAAAACACACTGCGAGTAAAGGGTTTTGAAAACTGACAAATGAAAAAATGGACACTTATGCAACATTTTGGAAACTTTACTGGGAAAAAAAGTTCAGCCCGCTTATACCTTTTTCAGTCCAATACAAATAACTGGGAAAAAAAAGGATGGTTTGAGGGAAAACCCTCCCTCAACCCGGAGTTTTTAAAAAAGCATCTTCAACCCTCAAAAATTAAGGACTGAAAAATATTGATTTCCCGGTGAGGGACTGATTCCTCAAACCCCCCATTTTTCCCCCGTTCTTTTTTTGGACTAAGAGCCCTGGTGGGAAACGTTTCCTCAATAAAGAGTCCCAAATGTTGCACAATGTCTCCTTCAAAAAAATTTTTTTGCATGTAAAATAAAGTGAAAAAGATAAGAAAAAGAAACTACTGGAACCCTTTCCCTGAAAATTTGAAGCTGACTGGTGAGGCGTTCTTGAGTTATAAACCAAACAAACCACCGAACAAGTGATGTTTGAACGCACTGTTCTGTGAGTTTCAGGACTCACATACCATGGGTTCAATCCCCACCAGTTCTGTGGTGTGTTTGTAATCATGTTATTACGCATATGTGCTCCAGTTCCTGAATTAAGCCTGAATACCTTCCATCCCCCCAGGGCGCTGTATAATCTACTGGTTTAGCGCTTCCCCATGATTATAATATAATAATATGTTATCACGATCTCGTGAGTTGTAAACTAACCCTTAGGAAGGAGGATCAACTAGGTAACCAAGGTTCTTGGAGGTGAATTACAGAAGCCATCCGCCTCTTTTGATCCAATGCCTACCTAATTTTTTGTATTCATATACACAGTATGTTTACACATTCTAATTTAACTGTTAGTTTAGAATTTATCTACTTCTCCATCCTCGCATAATATTTGGCACATATTTATATTAAAAACAAATTAAGATAATACTTGTATGTTTCTCCTCAATATATTTCAGTGATGAAATATGGTTTAAATTGTACAATATTGTATTATGAGGAAAAATCTTAACCTAACTAAAATAACCAAGAATAATCTAATGTAACCTAACCTAACCTAACCTAATCTAATCTAACCTAACCTAACCTAACTCGCCTGAGTCCCGCCGAGGATCAACATCCAATAATAGCCCAAATTAAAAAGTAAATAATGATGACCTCCAAAGAGTGTTAATACAAACCCTCGAGCCGTGAGTGGTGAAAAGCCTGTCATGAAGAAGTGAAGCCGAGGGAAAGGTACCATGTTGACGGCCAGCTTCCTCAAGTCAGCATTCAACTGGCCAGGGAAGCGCAAGCAGGTAGTTATCCCAGACACAGTGAGGGAGACCAAGTGGTTGAGATCACCGTAAGTTGGAGTAGCGAGCTTCAGGGTCCTGAAGCAGATGTCATAGAGAGCTTCGTTGTCAATTACAATAGGTTTCATCAGTGTTTTCAATAAGTTGATGAATGGAGAGAGTAGCATTGTAAGGCTCCACACTGTATCAGAAACCTGCAAAGTAATTCAACTAAACTGTACCATTAAATTAAAAGCTCAGATTTTTATAAACAAATTGTGAGACCAAAATATCCTAACAGTAAATAGAGAATATTCAAGAAAATCTGCTAACATTAAACAGAAACTTAAGACAGGTGCACAAGTGGCAGTGTGTGGCGTACACTGAGTATGTCACATACAATTCACTGTACATCACACACCCACTTCTTGTATTTCCCTTTAAATTTAAACAGACAAGCTGGTGTTTTTGGT